TTTGCCATAATCAGAAATTAAGCTGAGCTTCACCCATGCCCTTTCATCTCTCTGGGACTGCTCTGCTGGCCTCACCTGGAGATGGGATTGGCTTTTCCCAGTGCACTCTGCCTCAGTGAAATCCCCAGCTAACAGGAGTTCTGGTTTCGCACTGAGGTCAACCCATCACAACTGGTGAAATATAAAATAGTGCCAGCATTTAAAAACTTAACCTTAATTGATATTGATCACTTCTACCAGCAGCTCCGGTCCAGAGGAAGGCCCTAAGAAGCTCTGCTAGACATATCTCCCATGTGAAAGGCATTGAAAGGACAGAATAGGTACATGTCCCTTCTTCCACTGCTGCTGCTCTTGAATTACATCCTTTAACCTGAAAGTCCTGATCCCTTTCACAGGAAAACCCTGGAAGATGCTTCTTGTTTCCTATATGCACTGCAACAATCATCACTCACAACCTTACATTCCAAAAGACTCAGCAGGTAAACACAGCACCTTACAGATATTACCACTCAAAACACAACAGCCACAGGGAACCACACTGCCGATCCCTTCTTCCAGTTCTGTGAAACCCCTGACAATGTGACAGCCAGCACAGAATCCCTGTCCTGTGCACCAGCCCCACTCAGCTGGCACTGCAGGGGACAGGCTGTCCATCAGCACAGCCACCCTGCACAGCCCATGGCCACAGCTGCAGGATGTGCCCAGCCTGGAGAAGCTGACACATGAGAGATGTCACAAGTCAATGGCAATGGCTGCCCAGGGCTGGCACGCTATGAAAAGCTGCTCTGGGTCACATGCACCAGACTTTATGATTGCCAAAACTAATGCAATTAAGAGGATGTGATATGAATATTCTTGTAACATTCTGCTGGATCTTATATCCCACAGAAAACATGGCTATCATCATTTGGAAGAGAGAAAATCCTGGTGGTTCATTTCCTCTAGCCATAGAGCTCTAGGTTGCAGTTTCATTTTTCCTGCTTCCACCACAGCATCACAGGAGATCTCCTTGGTTACTGTGGTCCTGGAGTGCAAGGCCAAATGTGACAGGTCCTGTACTACCCCAAAGTGCATGGGCAGTCCGTGTCCTACAAAGCATAACACAACTTGCCCAGGAAAATCCTCACAGCTTTCACACTCTAAATTTATATGGAAGCTTTAGGGCACCACAGGGTGAGGGGAACTCAGCATGGTGCTATCTAGAAAAGCCTTCACTTTCCTAAGCAGATGAGATCGGAACCCTGGTACAGGGACATGTCACGATTTTCACCCTTTTCTACCATATGATCCAAATTAAACTCGTAAGGAGTAGCAGCTTTATTTTCTTGGCTCCCATCACCTGCTCCACTATGGGGCTCATCACTTACTCTTGAAGCCATGCCATTAGTAATGCAAACATGGGTTTCAATGCCTGTGAAGCATCAAAATAAACTCCACTTTTCCAACATCTGGGCTGAACATTGCAGCACCCAGACTCTCAGATTAAAAAGGACACAGAGTCCCTTGTCCATTCTACCCTGAGCAAAGGCAGGTTTCTGCAGGATCATCATAGGTAAAGAAGGGACAGAAGAACCCAGATCCTGAAGCCTGACACTGATCAAACAAGGATCAGTCTCAAAATCAAAACACTCTCCACTCACCGTGGAGGTTTTTGCTGGCATGTGGATAAATGCTTTCATCGTTTGTGTGCTTTGCATTGCCTGGGTCAAAAAGAAAAACCTCAACTCTAATGAGAAGATCTTGCTGCTGCTGGGATTCTCCAGGTTTTGGTATTTGTGCTTCTCATGGATCTATGTTTTTCTCTCAGAAATTTACCCCTACTGCCTTCTGGTATATCCTATGCTTCAATTAATTGAAAGTGCTTATGGCTATTTTAATTGTTCCCATTTGTTGTTTTCTGCCTGTCTTTGTGGTTTCTACTGCATAAAAATTGCCAATTTCAGGAACAGGCTCTTCATCTACCTGAAAATAAAAATTGACCGGATGGTGCCATGGCTTCTGTTGGGGTCAGTGATCTTCTCCCTGATTATTGGAATTCTTGTCTACAACACTGTTGATAAAGCTGCCTGTAAAAATCTCAATTTCACCTGCCAAGAAAGGTTTTGGAAAGCAACTGTCGTAATAGAGGAAGATTTTTTCCCTCTTTATATTCTCACTGGATTTTTATATACCACTTCATTCATGGCAGTCATCTTTTCTGCTGTTTGCCTTCTCTTTTCTCTCTGGAGGCACAAGTGCAAGATGCAGAGAAACTCCATGAAGGACCTCAGCATGGATGCCCACATCAGAGCCATGAAATCTATCCTCTCCCTCTTCATAATGTACAGCATCAACTTCATATTTTTGATCTTGACTCTCATTTATTCCATGAAGCACCAATATCATGTGATATTACTTGGTTACTTAATTCAACATGCTTATCCAGGTGTTCATTCCTTTATTTTGATTTTCAGCAATCCCCGGCTGGAAAAGACACTGCTTAGGATTCTCTCCTGGGTGATGTGCAAGCTTTGCATGAGGTAGAAACTGTAACGAATGCTGGAGTTCACAATATCTTTAGAGAAAACAAGTTCAATACATTTTCATTGCAACTCTCCAGGTAGTATAGATTGTAGAAAAGTTCAGCTTAGACAATAAGAATATGCATTTCAAACTCTTTAATATTAAGATGAGGTAAATGAATTTATATTTCCATTTAATTAAAACAGCTCTTGGAATTAAATTATTGTCAGTAGCAAAGTCATTTACCCTTTGTAGAGGCAGTGAATGCAAAAGAACAATAATCACACTGCAAACCTGCCACAAACATTTGGATTTTCACTGATTGAATTGATTGAATGAAACAACAGCTTTATCTCTATTTTGGTTTACCTTTCCTTTGGCTGTGCTGTGTGATCTATTCTGGGCTGTGTCACTGTCTGGCAGTGGCTGATAGCTCTGTGTGAACACGCTGAGCCCTGGCACTCACCAGAGCTGCTCACTGACCCACAAACAGCCAGGCAGGAACGGCCCCGGGGAGCTCAGGGGGTGCAGAGCCCCCTTCCCACTGCAGCCCTGCGTGTGCCCTGTGCCCCACTGCTGCAAGGACAGCATTGCCTGCTCTGTGGGACTGCTCTGCTGGCCTCACCTGGAGGTGGGATTGGCTTTTCCCAGTGCATTCTGGCACAGTTACGCAGGAAAAACACAGCACCTACAGATATTACCACAAAAAACACCACAGCCACAGGGAACCCCACTGAAGATCCCTTCTTCTATTTCTGTGAAATGTCTGACAATGTGACAGCCAGCACAGAATCCCTGTCCTGTGCACCAGCCCCACTCAGCTGGCACTGCAGGGGACAGTCTGTCCATCAGCACAGCTACCCTGCACAGCCCATGGCCACAGCTGCAGGATGTGCCCAGCCTGGAGAAGCTGACACATGAGAGATGTCACAAGTCAATGGCAACGGCTACCCAGGGCTGGCACAATATGGAAAACTGCTCTGGGTCACATCCCCAAGACTTTATGATGGACAAAACTAACGCAATTAGGAGGACATGATATGACTATTCATGTAACACACTGCTGGCTGTTATATTCTACAGAAAACACGGCTATCATCATTTGGAAGAGAGAAAATTCTGGTGGTTCATTTCCTGTAGCCACAGAGCTCTTGGTTGGGGTTTCATTTATCCTGCTTCCACCACAGCATCAAATGAGATCGCCTTGGTTACTGTGGTCCTGATGTGCAAGGCCAACTGGGACAGGCCCTGTACTAACCCGAAGTGCATGGGCAGTCCATGCCCTAGAAAGCTTAATACAGCTTGCCTGAGAAAACCCTCACAGCTTTCACACTCTAAATTCATATGGAAGCTTTAGGGCACAGCAGTTTTAGGGGAACTCAGCATGGTGCCATCTTGAAAAGCCTTCACTTTCCCAAACAGATGAGATCGGAACCCTGGTACAGGGACTTGTCCCGATTTTCACTCTTTTCCACCATATGAGCCATATTAACTTGTAAAAAGTAGCAGCTTTACTTTCTTGGCTCCCATCACCTGACCCACTATGGGGCTCATCACTTACTCTTAAAGCCATGCCATTAGTAATGCAAACATGAGTTTCAATGCGTGTGAAGGATTAAAATAAACTCCACTTTTCCAGCATCTGGGCTGTACATTGCAGCACCCAGATTCTCAGACTAAAAAGGACAGAGTCCCTTGACCATTCTCTCCTGAGCAAAGCTAGGGTTGTGCAGGACCATAATAGGTAAAGAAGGAACAGAAAAACCCACATCCTGAAGCCTGACACTGATCAAACAGGGATCACTCTCAAAATCACAACACTCCCCACCACACAAAAACATCTCCGCTGTTTGTGGCACCCAGCACAGCCCCACCTGAACCAACATTCAAATAGTCAAGAGTGACTCTGGCCCCGGGTAAGGAGATACCCAGCACATTTACATCCCTGCACCTGCCCTGCTGCCCACAGCAGCGACACCAAAATCCCCCCAGCAGCAGCAGCAGCTCTGTAAAGCTCCTCTTGCCATCCCTGACATTC